AGGTAATCTTCCAACAAGACAATGCTCCATGCCATACGTCAAAAGTTTCAATCGGTTGGTTTGAGAAAAAAGGGATTACAGTGATGAAGTGGCCCCCTCAATCCCCAGCCCTAAATCCCATTGAAACTTTGTGGTCCCATTTAGGGAAAAGATTGAAAATGCACAGAGGTTCATTAAAAAAAAGAATTAGAGGCCAAACTTCATGAAGATTGGCAGAAAATAGATCCTACCACCTGCAAAAACTTAGTCAATAATCTGCAAAAACGAATAAAAGCTGTTCTAAAGGCAAAAGAAGGACATACCAAATATTGATTGTTGTTATTAATGTTTACTCCACTATTCTTAACCTTTAAATATATAAGTTTGAATCCTAATTTCGATCTTTGATTGGTGCTCCATAATTTTGGCCAAGGCTGTATATATAAACGTAACATTTCTCTCTTTTTACTATTTGGTCCTAATTTTCGAAACTCGAAGAAATCTTTTTAGAGTTCTAATGTTTATTGATTGTCCTTATTCTTAAATTTATATATATATATATATATATATATATATATATATATATATATATATATATATATATATATATATACAAACGTAACATTTCTCTCCTTTTACGATTTGGTCGTAATTTTCGAAACTCGAAGAAATCTTTTAAATTTCTAATGTTTATATTGTTTGTCTTTCTTCGACATTAACTCATTACCGCTGGTCTTATTTATTTATTATTTATATTCAAAGATTCTTTTCATAACTTTTGGCGTGATTTTATTTCTTTTACGTTTTCTTATTAATTGTAAAGTAATGTATTTTCAAATTTGTTGGTAAACCGTTTTTAATTATATAATGTTATTTTGTTTCGTTTACTACTAGTCACTTTGTGTTTATTATTTAACTTTCAATGCTTAAAAAAACAGCAATTATAATAATAAAATATTCTAAAATATTTGATAATAAATTTATATAATTTATTTTATTTCATTAATATTATTTATATATATAGCAATACATTGACATATTTAATGTCGAACAGTTTAATCTGAAATCCAATGTATACAAAAAGGTTTTTTGTATAGGGGGTATTGGGTATAACTAGTACCTTTGATGCTCTTCTGCTGTGCCTTATTTTTACAGGTAAGGGCAATACTTGTTTTCATCCATCCTCTGAATGTCTCACGTATATATATATATATATATATATATATATATATATATATATATATATATATATATATATATATATAAAAAAAATATATGGTCAGTTTAGATATAACATCTTTATATACAAAATATTCCCGGATTAAAATACCTAACTTTACTAAGAAAATATTTAATAAAACAAAATAAATTTACCTTTTCCTACATGGTATATAATAAAAATATATTATTATCTATGTGAGATATCTATCAATTTCCGTCTTTTCTCGAGGATAAGAAGAAAAAATCGTGGTAAATATAAGAAAATGATTTTATTTTTTAAGTGAATGTCTAACTCATAATCTTTCCAAGACTCTCTAAAAATGGTATTTGTTTTTTTTTATGATGTGGCATTCCGAGGCTTGAAAGTCAGTTAACGTTTTGAAGTCGGCATCGAAAATATGTGATAAACTCAGTAAGTAATTGGACCAAATATGGAGGTCTAGTCTCCAACGTAATGACCTTGCAATCCAAACAATTATATTTCCTGGGTAAGGCGATAAACTACATCCGGTAGCAAGTCTTTTGATTATGAGATTGGAGGATTTATCTCAATTCGAAGCAGTAAGTTATATTTTTTATCCTCGTTAACAGTTCTAATTTTCGGAGATACCAAATGAATATCCCTTCAAAGTTTCCCTGCGCTGTTTTCTATTTAAAATCGGACAAAATGAGAAGCTTGGTTCCATTACATGCATGGATCTTCATTGTGGAAATAACAATTTATAATGAATAGGACAAATAGAAAAGTTGGTCGAACAACATAATAGCCAGATTTATAATCGCAAACACGAAAATGTAATAAATAGTTGCTTAAAAACGGCTGCCAAAATGTTTTCATTCCGACCAAATAGAAAAAGGCTTCACTGAAAGTAAAATTTTAAATTGTGTTTGTTTTAATGAGTGTTTGGGTAGAGAGCGGTACATTTCAGCGCTCTTCGTAAAGTCATATTGCTGCATGAAAATTAGTAATTGTAAATTCAATGTTAAAAAAGATACTGATGAGAACAACTCTAACCCCAGTAACCCGTATATTAAAAGCGATTCCATTATTTATTTATGAGAGTTCACTTTTGGCCTATTAATAGATATTTCCTTTCCTTATCCACTAGAATAACTCTACTCTACCCTGGATGAACTTTCCAGTTTTCGTAAAGCCATATTAACAACATGTCATAGATCTTCGTCAATGGGACACGCTACGTGTTATAAGCTAATATTTACAAGAGGTTTGGCGCGATAACAAAGAAACAATTGTATTGCATTTAGCACAAGATTAACTTCAGAAAGTCGGCTTTCAGAAATATTAAACATCAATGAGATTTGCTCCAACTTACCGGGCATATGAGAATTTGAAACTTTCATTTTAACACTTTCCACCCAAACAGAATATATGCGTTGCAAGAAAATAGTTTGTTATTAATTGCTGTAAATAATACGTCGTTTGTTACTTAATAGTGTTGGAAAATATTTGCCTCGCCCCAAAATAAATATCTTAAAAAAGGACTGGATTGAAAGAGCTGTGTTTACTTAAGGTCTTGTAAAACCATTAATATGAAAAAATTACTTAAAGCCGAATAGAAAGTATTAAAGAATCTTTTAAAGAAATTTTTACTTTAAAATATCGTGTTGAGAAAGATTATCTCAAGAATTTTAAATAGAATCGTTATATAGGGTGTATGCCTGAAATAATGAGATGTAAAACTCAGTCGTTGAGAAAGTTTCAATTTAAATACGGTTTATGTCAAAGAGATGAAGTGGGCGGAATAATACAAGTAAACAAAAACATACACATGACGACAAAGAAAGAGAATGACTTGGAGAGATACGATCGTCAACGTGAGAAGTAACCATTAATATGTTTTTTGCAATTCACATATTTTAAAGCTACTAGGAATATGATCTACATATATGTTAGCTCGATTTGATAAAATCTTCAACGCCCCAATAAGAACAGATCATTCTACTGATTCCTATGTTGAGGTCCTCACATCTGCATTGTTTCGCAACTCTTTTCAAATAGGAATTATTATTATTATTATTATTATTATTATTATTATTATTTCTTTAGATATCTGTTGCATAAACATTTCCATCCGGGTCCCAACCAGGGATCTAGGGTTAACAATCATTTTTGTAACACAAACTCTAAGATCACATCGATTTTACAGAGGTAAAGCGTTTCATAATATAGGATTTGTAATTGTGAGTACAATTTTTTTGTATTTCTTTAAGACATGGACTACTAAGAATCCCTTCAATGAAACTATCGGAACCATTTTCAATCATTCCGGGGGTTCCAAATACAACTAGAACTATTATTGTCCATATGTGCCACATTTTTGAGATTTTCACTTCAAGAACCTTGCATTTACATATATGGAATTAACACATTAATTCCATTTATATTTTACGCGCGCGCGAGTTTCCTCCCTTCCTTTCACACTCGTGCGTGTGTGCGCGCGTGTTTTCACCCCTACCTTTCACTCACAGATAAACATAGCAGTAACCTACTTTGAGCTCCTACTGATTTGGACTCATAACAGATTTTGAATTTTCCCGCGCGTTTCGCGGCGTTTCAAACGGCCAGCGTTTGCAAGCCAGTTGCCTCTTAGCTTTCGACCGGACTGGATGGGCAACTCATTTATTCCGTGCACTTAACCCATACGCGGGCCGGAATATCTTATTTTTTCAACAATGTCGACTGCACCCTCTACCAAGACTTTTTCTCCTTTTGAAGCTGCCAACAGGTCGGACCTTTTTCTCCGTTTTCTACCAGAAGATGTTTTAGAGATACGCGACACTGTCGCGAGCAAAAGTTCGTATTCAACTAATGGCGTATTTTTATCCCTCGTCAGGGGCCTAATAAGTATAGGCAGGGATGTCCTACTGAACGAACAAATTGCTAATCACGGGTCAGGACCTTTTTCTCCGTTTTCTACCAGAAGACGTTTTTAGAGACACACGACACTGTCGTCGGCAGAAACTTCGTGTTCAACAGGTGACTTAAACTTACCCCTGGCTTCGAACCAAATAATACAGGCAGGGATAGTATTACCTTTGAACAAAAACATTTTTCGTCTTTCTCTTTGGGCTCGCCGTAAATCATTCTACAAGACCATGCTTCGTTTCTCCCGGCTAGATGCCCACAGCAGTCCAGAACATTTACCAGCGGTCAATTCAATGTTTCACCAAAAAAAACTCTGAGACGACCGGACATTCTTTATAACTTTGAACCTGTACATTAAAAATATGCATAATCACTTACAACTTAAAATATCCACAGTGAGTACTCCTTTCTATCTGTGCGCACATTCTTTTTCCGGAACTGTATAAAACTTTCTTTTCCCGCCTTTGGCCATCTTGTATTTCTATTTTGGCGCGGAACATATTCATTGATCCCGACCTTGGGATGAGTTTCTTGTTACTGTTTGATTAAAGTTTACTCATGTTTTATAAACAGATGTCTTTGTCATTTTTATTCCGGCTATCTTAATATATTTTATTTTATGCACTTGTTGATTGACCCCTTTCCTCTCACTGTTCATTCACGCGCACATTTTTATCTTTTTACTTTGCTTGTAGACTCGGTAGTTTAGTGTGGTGTCTGGCACAAGGCCACTTAGTAATAAACCAGCACTGCACGCTGCCGGGCCCGCAACAAGATTGGTGACCTTACGACGTGATACGAACACGTAATAATTTTGCAACCTTGCCAACATATTTCTGAGCAAGCTTAAATATAAACGTGCATAAATTCGATAGCTGGAATGACGTCTAGTGACTCTGAAGAGTCGGCGAACATGTCCGCCGCCGTCGCTCCTTTTCCCCCCTTTCATGAAGGGAATATAAAGAACTGGTTCCTGCAAATGGAAGCTATCTTTACAGTCAGAAGGATTACTGACCAAAAGACTAAGTTTGGCCACGTGGTGGCGGTTTTGCCACCCGCCATTGTTGATGAGGTCTCAGACTTCCTAGAAGCCGTTCCTGAAGTAGAACCCTACGCCCGGTTAAAAAGAAGATCTTAAGGAGAATGGGCCGTACGGAGGAATCATTAATCCGGGAACTATTTAGCAACCTAACTTGCGATGGCAGGACTCCCTCCCAACTCCTTCGTTATATGAAAAGCCGACTCGGCAAAAAATACCATGGCTGACTCTATATTAAAAAGCTTGTGGCTGGACCGTCTCCCCACCACCATTACCCAAATTTTGGCGCCAATGTCCGAAAACACCTCGATCGATCAATTAGCGGACGCCGCTGATCGTATTTTCTCGCAACTGGATAATCAGACAATGCCAGTACACAGTGCTGAAGCGACTAGGGACGACAGCTCCTTGGAAAAAACAGTCGAGGACTTGCAGCGCCAAGTTAAAGATTTAACATTAGCTCTAAAAAGCCAGGGTCGAAGCCGGTTCCCTTCCCGCCGGCGCTTCAGAAGTCGACCACGCTCGTCAAGTCGGAACAAGGATGCCACTCCTACTATGTGTTACTACCACCGACGATATGGGTCTAAAGCTCATTACTGCGTCAAGCCGTGTACTTATACTGCGGTCGCGGAAAACAAAACCGCCAGCGAGTGAAAGCGACTAATCTCGCTGGCAAGGCATTTTCACCAAAACTTAGTCGCCTTTTTTTTATGTGACGGACACGCGTAATAATTTACGTTTTTGGTTGATACCGGCGCTGCCATTAGTGTCTTACCCGTGCGTGATAAAGCTCGTCAACAACCTTTTCAGCTCCGCTTACAAGCAGCAAATGGTTCCAGTATTAATACTTACGGTACGAAGTCCCTTACCCTAAACATAGGGATGCGACGAGACTTTACTTGGAATTTTACTGTTGCTGATGTCCAGATGCCGATATTAGGTGCCGATTTCCTGGCGCACTATGATCTCGCCGTGCGAATGAACGACCATTCCCTGACTGACAACTTAACAAGACTGTGTGTTCTTGGCACTTATTCTAAACTTACCACCACTGGCATCACCGTGGCAACGTGCCACAATAAAGAGTACTTAGACTTATTGAATCAGTACCAGGACCTCCTGCGTCCTGCTGGATCTATTGATTCAACTAAACATCAAACACAGCACTTTATTAAGACCACTGGTCAACCTGTTTTTTCCCGTCCTCGTCGTCTAGCACCTAACAAATTAAAATTCGCAAAGAAAGCTTTCGACGACATGCTACGAGAGGGTGTTATTCGTCCGTCCGACAGTCCCTACGCTTCCCCTCTGCATTTGGTACCTAAACCAGGAAAGGAGGACTATAGAATTTGTGTGGATTATAGAAGATTGAATTCCATCACCGTCCGGGATCGTTATCCAATCCCCCACCTCCACGATTTCACTTCTGGTTTACAAGGCGCAAAGATTTTTACTAAAATAGATCTCGCTAAAGCATATTATCAGGTGCCAGTAGCTGCTGCTGATGTCCCAAAAACTGCTGTTACTACACCTTTCGGTTTATTTGAATTTTTGAAAATGCCTTTCGGCCTTTGCAACGCAGCACAGACATTCCAACGTCTTATGGACGAGGTTCTGCGTGGACTCCCTTTTGTTTTCGATTACATTGACGACATTCTGATAGCTAGCGAGGACGCTGCCTCGCATAAGCAACACCTACACGAAGTTCTTCAACGTTTGTCCCATTACGGATTTCATCTAAACCTGGACAAATGTGTCTTCGGATCAGACCATATAGAATTTTTAGGACATCATGTCGATGCAAATGGAATTGCCCCTATAACTGAAAAGATTAAAGCTATCACTGAGTTTCCCGTCCCTGTTTCTATTAAACAGTTGAGACGCTTTATAGGGATGATCAACTTCTACAGGAGGTTTATTCCAAACTGTTCTAACATTCTGACTCCCCTTACCAACTTATTACAGAAGAAGAATAAGACTATTATACTTGAGAGTGAAGCCTTGGACGCCTTTCGAGCAGCTAAAACCGCTCTAGGCAATTTTTCTAAGCTCAGTTTCTTAGAGGACGACCCTCAATCGGATATCTACCTGACCACTGACGCTAGCGAAACAGCAATAGGCGCGGTCATTGAACAAGTCACTCCTTCTCAACGTAGACCTATAGCGTTCTTTTCCGCTAAACTTTCTCCTGCCCAGTCACGCTACAGTACCTTTTCTCGTGAACTGTTGGCTATATTTCTTGCTATTAAGCATTTCAGACACCTCCTCGAAGGTAGGTCCTTCGTTATTTTTACGGACCACAAACCTTTAACGTCCATTATGTCCACCAATTCGGACAAATACACTTCGAGGGAAATCAGATATCTGGACTATATATCTCAATTTACTACTGATATTAGGTACATTAAGGGTTCGGATAACACTGTTGCCGATACCCTATCTCGTACTGAGATGTTCGGCGTGCATACTGATGCACTCAGTCAAGACTTGATCGCCGACGAACAGAAAGCGGACATAACTCTGAAGCAGGTGTTATCCGACACTTCTTTGGAACTTCAGAAATGTCCAGCTCCTTTTAGTAACAAGGTCCTATACTGTGATGTTAAATCCAAATCCCCAAGACCTTATGTTCCTCCGTCTCTTCGTAGACCACCTTCACGGGCTCTCACACCCTAGCAAAAGAGCCACAGTTAAGTTAATTTCGGACCGTTTCGTTTGGCCGAATATGAACGTTCACATTCGCGAATGGGTCAATACATGTTTACAATGCCAGAAGTGTAAGGTGCATAGACACACAAAATCTCCTGTGGGCACCTTCAGCGAGCCTGATGCTCGCTTTACTAATATACACCTGGACTTAGTTGGGCCCCTACCAACCTGCCATGGTTATTCCTACCTTTTAACTATAGTGGATCGTTTTTCCCGATGGCCTACTGCCATCCCTGTCAAAGATACCACTGCTGTGACTGTCGCAAAAGCTATTTTACGCGACTGGATTTCGATTTTTGGGACTCCTAAGGTGGTTACTACAGATAGAGGAGCACAGTTCCAGTCGTGTCTTTTCAGGGAATTCACTGAACTCCTTGGTGCAAAGCATATACGTACTACAGCGTATCACCCCTGTGCGAATGGGCTGGTGGAACGATTCCATCGCACCCTTAAGGCTTCGCTATCAACGAAGCATGAGAATAATAATTGGGTCGATGAATTACCCCTCATCCTTTTATCGTTAAGAAATATTCTTAAGGATGACTTGAAATGCTCCCCTGCAGAGCTTGTATTTGGTACTTCGTTATCTTTACCTGGCCAATATTTTTCACCAGCTGTGACCACACCACCAGTTTCTTCCTCTTTTATTCAGGACTTACGCCTTAAAATGGCAAACTTATGCTATACACCACCGCGGCACTGCCCGAGTGATATCTATTTACCGCACCAGCTCAAGGACTGCGAATTTGTATTTGTACGTAATGACTCTGTTAAGCGGCCTCTTACGCCGGCCTACACAGGCCCATTCCGCGTTCTTAAACGCGCGGACAAATATTTCCAAATACAGAAAGGTATTCACACCGACAACGTTTCAATAGATCGGTTGAAACCTGCCTTTATAGAGAAACCGTCGTCTCATACTACTTCCCAATCAACTCCGCAAGTTCAGGAGAATTTCAAGACACCTGTTTCTCTCGACAAAGCCTAAGTATACCAGCTCCGGTCGAAAAGTCACCTTTCAAAGAAATTTGAAACATTCTATTATTATTAGTCAAATGTCTGCGACATTTGATCCAGGAAGGAGGGCTGTGTGGAATAATGTATTATTCCATCTACGACATTTTACGCGCGCGCGAGTTTCCTCCTTTCTTCCACACTCGTGTGTGCGCGCGCGCGTTGACACCCCTTTCTCCCTCGTTCGGTCTAATACAGTAGTAACTGTTTTGGTCGATAGTCAAACGACCTGCTACTCCTGTTTATGCAAATTAGATTTAATTATGCACGTGTGGATTAACCACACGTGCATAATTAAAATATATTAACAAGATAGCCTCCTCGGAATGACTGAAAAAGACTGGGTTTCAACAAGAGTAATTTTTATTAAATGCAGGAAAAACAAGTAATTTGTCCCGTGGTAGGGACCAATGAAAAAGTTCCGCGCCAAAATAGAAAACAAGATGGCTAAAGGCGGGAAATTTCTTGAAGAAGAAAGGTTCCAGTAAGTCAATGTACATGGTAATATTCATACAAGGAAAAATACTCACTGCGAGTTTTTAGGTAATGAGAGTGAATGTTATGTACATATATATATTTTTTTTTCCTTTTTTTCTTGTACTGGTTCAAAACAGATTTCTGACGAGACCCAAAGTGGACGACGGATTGTCATTTTGTATGTTCTGCATCGTCTCGGAGTAGGACTTTGAATGACTAGTCTCAAAAGGCCGAGGAATTAATATTTTGGATGTTTTGCATCATCTCGGAGGAGGTCTTTGAATGACGAGCCAAAAGGGACGAGGAATTAATTATTTGTGGTCGCATAGTATTATTTCCTTCGCCAGTCAACCTGAAATATTGACATGGATAAAAATGAGTCTGCCCAGGTCAGAGTCTGGAACACCACTGACTTTTCTGAAACAACAGTTTGTCGTTGACGTCACAAATTTTTCGCGGCAAGATTTCAAAAATCTAATTTGCATAAACAGGAGTAGCAGGTCGTTTGACTATCGACCAAAACAGTTACTACTGTATTAGACCGAACGAGGGAGAAAGGGGGTGTCAAACGCGCGCGCGCACACACGAGTGTGGAAGAAAGGGAGGAAACTCGCGCGCGCGTAAAATGTCGTAGATGGAATAATACATTATTCCACACACACACATATATATATATATATATATATATATATATATATATATATACCTGTTTTTGTCTTTGGAGATTAGGTTTGTATATTTTTTTGTTAGTGTGTTTTGGTTGGGTTCAATCAGTTTTTTTTTAAATTTCCTTCTAAAAGTTCCAATTTTTCAGTGTAGATATTGTCCTACCATCTCATGCTGAGTTTTATATACAGTGGGTTTTAAGACCATGAAACTTAGTCAATTGTTTCTGGAAATTCATCAAAGAATCTGTATTCCGGGTTAACACATTTTTTTCAGTATATGTTCTTAGTAATGTCTAGTTAACAAGCATTGGTCCCGTGCAGCAAGGAAAAAAAACTTTTGGTTCCAAATTTTAATCCTGCACTACATAACCGCTGATGGGTGCTGGCTTTGTATACATCAGCTTATTTGGTACGGGAAGAGTAGGGTACTGAACTTTATCATTATTATTATTATTTCATACGCTACCCGGCCCTTAGATGTTTCGGCCGGATGTTGGTCATAACTCACTTCCAACCTACGACTTAGAGACACAACACTTTCCCCATCAAATGTTCTATTCCAAGCTGTGCTGCCACCTGCACACTCCCAATGATATCATATATCCCGGAGGCCTCCTTCAAAACAAAAAGGATTCCGAGAAATGGTCCTGAGTGCGCCAACCACAAAATGGACAATTTGAACTGCTGATTAGTATAAATATAATTTTGAAAAATGATGATTACAGTCAAATATGTTGGAAATTTTCAAGTTTTTCCCCTCATCAAAAACAATTTCGAACTTTATGCAAATTGGTCTCAATAGATGGGAGAAATGAGACACTACTAAGTTTTGTCAGTATTTTTACCCATATCTTTGTTCCAGTTTAAATTATAAATTATAATTTTGAAAAACATTCAGTCTCTTAATCTTCTGAGATAATTTTTTTTCCTTCATCAGCATAGCCAATGCAGACCTCCAGAGAGCGAATCGTTGCACCTTTTTGGGCTAACGTTTCCCACTGACAATAATTTGGAATATTATATCGAATAAATTGATAGGTCTGCTACTATGTTGTTTCATTGTGCCATGCCAGAAACTTTACCTCGACAGAATCTATCACACATATTAAAATATTGCTGCCACGCGTAGTCTGATGGTGCTGTTATATATTTAGAGTTAAAATCTCTTGTATACTTAAAAAGGTTACAAACAGCCAAAGGTGGTACTCGAGTGAAAGGAACAGCAACAGTGGCGTAGATGGAAGAAAGAGAGGTTCATTGTAAAAGAGAATACACTACTGAAAGACAAGGGAATTGGGTGGCAAGATTGTAATTCCCGAAACAAGGTTATTTACCTTACCTCCCCGGGAGGCAGGATGTGGCACAAGGCGATTTTTTAATGCGGTGCAAAACGGTAAAAATAAAAAGGTAAAAATTCCCCGTATACCCCGTATACACGGGGTCGGGTAGCTTTCTATCACTCCAGACGAGGCTATGCCGAAGGCAGAGATTTCGACCAGTACAGCTGAAGGCGTACCTCTGACTAATTGTCGAAGCAAGGTTATTTAACTTACCTCTTCGCGAGGAAGGATGTGGTACAAGGCCGTTTTTAATGCGGGGTTAAACCGAGCCCATGGGCTCGGGCAAAAATTCCTCGTAGACCCGGTTCGGGTCTCGGCCAACCACCCCAGACGAAACTCTTCACTTCGGCATAGCCTCGTCTGCGTTCCTTTCTGCCCGAAGGCAGAGAGTTCGATGAATCTCCAACTAAATGCCGAAGTATGTCCGCCAGGTATATCCTGTGCTTACTATATATATATATATATATATATATATATATATATATATATATATATATATACTGATATAGACAGCCCGCAATGTGCGATATGGAGAGTGGGACATTCAATTACAACGAAATCCAATGACGAATGGGCATCCTAACTTGGCATCTCGGCTTGAGTCAATCTCCCACCGCCGTAATGTCGCTTCTCTATGCCTTTTCTGTAAATACTTCTATGGTAAATGTTCTGATGAAGTCTCCACTTTGATACCCGATGCTCTATGAATTTAAGCCTAGTACTAGATTGGCGGCAGATTCTCATCATTTAACAGTCGAAACGTCTCGATGCTTCTATGCTAACAGTTTCTTTTCAAGCACTTTTCACTTATGGAACATTATACCGGCTTCTTGTTTTCCAGTTTGATATTCAAAAATCTAAATGCAATGACAAGCCTTAGTTTCTGTTCTCTTAAATTCTGATCTTTTATGGTTCATACTCTAATGTTTTTCTTATATTCTTGCACATACCGTAAGTCCCTACGTTTAGTGGCTCTTTTGCCTTATTGGGAGTGAAGGGAATCCAGGGTGACTGTTGCAATCCAGAAAATATGAGCTTTAAGCAAAATGGACTCAATATAGAAAAAGAAGTCATCATTTATCTTATATCTCACTGACGTCAGTTTAAACTGACACCTCTTTTTTCATATGTCTAATCTGTAATTATAAATTATAATAGAGTTGAAATTGTGGCTAAAAATAATGGCAGAAAATTATCTAAATTTTTTTAAGTTCCATCTAATACGACTCGTGTAATTAAAAAGCCATTTTATGTTAAAATTGAATAATGGATAAATTTAAATAACAACTCCCGGTGGGCTTTCATAGCCTAATTCAGTGGTTCCTAAACGGCACGCCTCCTAGGGGCAGTGGAATAGGATAGCAGGTGAGGGGGAAGAGGATAGCAGGTGAGGCGGAATAGGATAGTAAATGAGGTGGAATGATTGAAAAGCAATCAAAGATTTGGAAACAATTTTAAAACTTTATATGCTTAAAATAAATATGATTTTAAAATTTAAGATATTATTATGGATTTTTGTAATTGTATGCATGAGACCCGGTAAAAAAGTTACAAATAATTATTGACCGATTTTATCATTGCGATATTTTAACATTATCGCAAGTAGTAAGAATATATTAACTATGGTCCGCAAATTAGTAAAGAGAGTTATCAATGATAATGGTCTGATTTCGAATCTGCGGTCACCTCTTTTTTAAAACTCTCTCTGTTTTCGTAATTTTTAAATGAGCTTTTTATCCCAAAAAATTTGGTGAGGCTCCAGAGAATTTTCATTCCGAAAATGCGACCCAGAGAAAAAAAAAAGTTTTGGAATTACTGGAATTGGTAAACTAGCGCTCCATGTCCCATAAAGAGAAGGGAAACCAGTCCAAATCTCGTCTGCATCTAAGTCTTTATTTAATAAGGAAAAATGAGTTGAAACAAAAATATAATAATATTAATACGACAAATACGAAGATGACGTTTGAATAGCAGGAAAAAAAAAAATTAATAAAATAAAAACGAACATATTTCTTTCAAACCAAATGCATAGACATGGGCAGCAGATGACGACCTGGATCCTGAGAAGCCCCGAAGCCAATCATGAACGAATTACGCAGGATTGTTAGCAGAAATATGATACGACTATGGCCCATAAATGAGGTGGGTTTGTTTCAGGTTTAAGGAATAAGTAAAAACAGCCGAGCGGTAGCGACGGCAGCTCCGCCCCACCCTACACACACACACACACACACCTTTTTTTCCGTGACACATATTTGCCGCTGGGAATAGTCAAAAATATTCTGACTAAACATAACCGACTTTTTCGCCCAAGAAAAAGAATTACGGTTGAAGTTATATCCTTAGATATTATAAAGGAAGGAACCAGCAGGAAAAAGCTTACAAATGATGATTTTCTCAATCTGTTTAATTCATATTTGGCATGAATTCATACTAATATATATATATATATATATATATATATATATATATATATAGAGAGAGAGAGAGAGAGAGAGAGAGAGAGATGTTTTGAACAATAAAAAATATAATAAAAACATAAAAATTTCAGTCACGCTTTGTTGTATATTAATATTTTTTGTTTTATTATTGCAATTAGGCTCCTCGACTAGTTTCGGCCAGCATGGCCATAGTCAGTCGAAAAAATCCCTGCTTGTTCGTACCAGTGAATTACGGGAGTGAATGGATGTTTCTGAAGAAAGTTAACTTTATTTATAGTTTTCATTTGTTTTTTTTTCTTGTTAATTTTGTTCAACCCATCTCTTGGTAAAACGGCTTCTTTCAAGTTGTGATGTGTGTATGTATATATATTAGGATGAGTATATATATATATATATATATATATATATATAGGCAAACTTGAACGTTCGGGCCCAGTAAAGAATGGAGTGTGAAAAGGACGGCTTTCCCATAACGATACTATTATTTTAACTAACTTTACTCCTCAGAAATGTTTATTGTTTAAAAAACAAATTTCTTTATTCTGGAGACGTGACAGCAAAAATAATAAGAAAAAATAACTCTTTTTATTAGATTATTTAAACTATTTATTTATTTATTATATTTTTATAACGGTTGGCAAAACATCGTGAAATTGCCAATTGATTTGAACATTATAAATTGGCAAATAATATTTGTTTATATTCATAGATTGTTCACATATTTTAATTCATATTGTTTAATATTTCTGTTAAGCATTACTGGAAGCACTTGTGGTAAGTAGTCAAGAAACCACGATTTAGTTGAAACATTTCATAGGGATTGAAGGGAAAACGTGCAGTGAGGAAGCCATAGACATAAAGTATGTGCTGTGCGCAATCACAAACAAACCGCTTGTCTACCTAAAAGACGCGTCTTATGCCGAAAAGACGGCGCTGCCACGACCACAAAGCAAAACCGTAAAACCGAGAGAAGAGCGAACAGTGACGGGATGTCATGGTAAGAAAATTTCTGTGATATAACTTCCTTTATTCTGATCTGTCACTATCTACATCGCGGCTGAGAGCCCTTAAAACCGCAACGGGGGTAACCGTAGGGCCGAGCATCGTAATTGCAATTAAGAAGTGCCATCTCTTCAGTCGCAGTCAACATCACGCTGAGAGCTCATGGAACCGGGCCGGGGTCGCTGTAAGGCCGAGCGCCTCAATTGCAATGAAAAAGTGCCTTCTCGTCAGTCGCAGTCAACATCACGGCTGAGAGCTTATGCAAACCGACCGGGGTCGCCGTACTTGGCGTGTGTTTTTAGGGGGTTTTTTTTTGCACGACTACAAACAAAACAGTAGAGCCATATGGCTGACATGATTCACCCTTGGCAGCCGTAAAGTGTTTATGGAAGCAAAAACCTGAATTTCGTAGACGCACTCGACTTTTATGAAAATTAAACGAACTCCGAAGCTTGTATGCACTGGTACGAACTGCAGGCGCTTCGATCAACTGTTAATGAAACCGGAACTTTAGTGGAGCAATCATGTCTAATGCCGGTGTTCATGTGTCTAGCAGCTTGTGTTGCAACTGAATACGGTGAGGTTATCATAGTGTACAAACAAACGCGATGATGGCGGGTGAAGGTATGAAAGTCAGAAGGCAGCAAAAGAGCTGGATAACCTTTACAAAGATGCCTTAGTAATGGCAAGTGGAGACTACGAAGACCTAACGTTAAAATCAATATGACAAACAAAAAAAATGCCATGCAATCGAACTGCATATGTGTGCATGGCGCTTAAACGCTACCGGGCGTGTTGTCTACAGGACCTCCGTGTAGGTTATGTTTCTAGCACTGTTATTGGGAGAGTAAATGAAAACCCTGTCCTTAGACCCAACTCGTGAGCACCCAACGTAAAGTTGGCCGTGAGAGAAACACTGCTCACGTAAATGCTGACCTGCGATGATAAACGTCTGTCTTTGTGATTTGTTAATGGACATAGCAAAGCAAAGCAAATTGTGAGCAACGAAAACTGATTGGTATGCTTGCGTCTGACGGCAGAAGATGCATCCTGGAAATCAGAACGACTTCACCCTTGCCGCAGCCAGTTGCATTGGTCGCCTCAATCAGGTTCAGAGAAAGGGATTTAATAATGAGGCGAGTCCCGCCGCACTGTTTAGGTGGGAGCAAATACCTGATTAGCATAATCGGAGCACCAACTTTGAGCCGAAGAATATGAGGTGGTAGTCCGGACGTTTGAAGGATGTTCAAAACATCTATGGGATACTCAGCTAATTCAGATGAATCGGAAGTTCTGTCGATGGACATGACATTGCCCGGGAATGCAATCCAACACTTTAAGGTTGATGGAATCAACTGTACAGGGCTTCGGTGCCAATATGGCCCTCCCAGCAAGCCAATCGGCATCGGCAAAATTAGTGGATAAGTTGTAGAAGACTGCATTCATCAATTCATCCGGTGATTCAACAGTGGTGGAAAGCTGACCCATCTGCACAAAACTCAGATGGCATTTTCCCCTCCCCAAGAGCAAGAAGGTCCCGTGCGAAGTCAGCGGATATGGAGTCCCCATTCAAGTAGGGACGCATGTTCGTGCTCAGTTTAAGAGTCTCCACGTGGCGCCAAACGGCAGACGACTTCAGGTAGGCGCGGACAGCGTCAGCGCGTGTACCTTTAGGAATAACAGGTATAGTCTGCCTAAAATCGCCTACGAGGAGTCGCGGATGTCTTGGAGACGTCGGTCAAGTGCCTCAAGGGCGCCCTTGTGTGCCAACGTGCACTCATCTCAAACTATAAGGAGTTTGCAGAGAGGAGTTTGTGACCGGCATAGATCAAGCAGCAATCTAAAAGCCGAATGAGCGGTTCTACCTCCCGGCACCAACGTTGCAGCAATCCCGGAAGATGCGACCGCAATAACGATCCCCCCACGACGCCGTACCTCTACCAGGACTAATATAGTAACAAAAGATTTGCCAGTTCCCCGGGCGCATCTAAAAAGTATATACCACCACTGGAGCCGTTTGCCCTTTCTGTTATGTTAGTGAAAGCAACCCTCTGATCAGATAGAATTTTGGGCTCGTTTTCGGTAATGCGTTCAACCCCTCGATGGAGTAGGATGTTTCCCGCAATAACTCAGTTGGTACAGTGTCAAAGCCGTCTCTGGGCGGTGGTAGCAAACCGTAAGTTGGTAAAGAGGTACCTTCCAGTTCGAAAGCAACATCTTCTAGGGCCACCAGCGCTCTGTTGAATATGAATTCAGTGAAACCGCATTCAACTTCTGGCCTGTACTCTCAACGGAGAACAGCACATCCTCTGGATTCTCTGTACTTTAGCCAGAGCGACAGAGGATCGCTTAGTTCGCATCGCAAAAGCAAAATGGCGAACAGCGTTTGAAGCCGTGAAGCATTGGGATTCGTCTTGAAGCAATCTCAAACGGTAGCATACCTCTCTATAAGACTGGCACTATGCCGTTGACAGTGCGAATATCTTGAAACTCGTTGGCCCAGCAATTTCATGAAGTAGAAGGCGGAGGTAAAAGCACTTGGGGAGGGGGCACAGTATAAACGCGTCCAAGACAAGAGTTTGACCTTTCAACGGGATAACCCTCGACAGGGTCGCCAGCCTTTCGCCGAACCCACCGGTTGTTTGACCACACATAGTAGGACGGTACTTGGAGGTATATCAATGTTTTGGCAAAAGTATCTGTTGAGCATAATTTAAAGAAAGCCATTAGGGTTTTGTCTTTAGGGTTTTCCGCAACCTGCTGGGCGTTTTGTTCTGTGAAGTACATCCTCTGTCCATTTTCTAAGTGAACAGCAAGCTACACAATGGTTGGAGCCCTTTAGTGTATAGGGAATCCGAAAATTCGCCAAAAGGCCTCGCTACTGCTGAGGTAGCGTCCAGCTACGTAATCGGCCACCTCGTCAACGCAATTGTCACGCCGAATACTGAAAACGGCAACATCGCTGCCTTTATTAACGTAATTGCAGATGTACTTTATTGACTTAACCGAGTGGCAGTATTCAACGTTTATGTGGGCTCCAAAAGTCTTGGACAGCAGCGGGCAATAAGGCACCACCCAACGATTGTCTAGAGTGTGCCCCTTAACTGACACAGTTATGCCACCCTCAGCGGGGCTTCTACGTTTGTACAGTGGGTAACCATTCGTCGCAGTCTGCGTTTCTGAGATAAACTTACGGGGGTAACGCTTTACGCAAGTGGGGCCGCTTGACCAACATGGCCTTTTTTCGGAATTCACGCCACTGGGGCTGTGTATCATATTGTTTTTAATGATTTCGTGGAGCAAAGTATCCAGCGCAGGATCCGGAATTTCAGCAGAAATAAAATCGTCTATTTTGTTTGCGTCAACCTTATCGTTGAGCCACAGCAGAATGTTGGCATGAGGCAAACCGCGTTTCCACCATTCCACTGTATACATATGACACTTAACGCGTCTGAAGACTTGCCCTTTAAGGATTAAATCCATAAGCTTACACAGCTGTAACCGGAAAACGCGGGTAATTTGGTCAGGACGGTGTGAGTACTGCTAACCTGGAAAAAGTTCGCATGTGATTTCAACCCATTCCTGATTGCACGCGAACGTGACGAACAAATCAGGCCTCCCGAAATGGGAGACATAGGTCATTGCGTGTTGGGTCCTTTCATGCATGTATCGAGGGCCACCAGTGTAAGAGGAAGGCAAAATGCACGGTTTGCCGAGATTGCGTGGGTCACCATCAGAACGCAGACCATCACGAAGGTGAATGTAGGAGTCAGTTCGAAGTTTGGATTGGTTTAACTTGATGAATTCTAACCTCTCCGACTCAATTTTTGACAACAGCGAATTCAAGAAATAGTTAAGGGTACCTGTGCAAGTGGTTAAATTAACCCTCCCTAACCATAAACATGTAGGCGTAGTAAGCCCTACAGTAGACCGTCTTTGAGGTCGACATGGAATCACTGTTTGCCTGGTATATTGGGATTTTGAAGTGGTACCCATCGCTTCCGTATGGAAAAAGAAGGGGGTACTGGAGACAGTCGTATGAACGGTGGGTTTCACTGATGCGGTGCAGACCACCGCCCCGGTAACTTATGACAATGTCACGGCTGTTATGCTCCTCACCGTGGATGACTGCAGCGACTTCATTACATGCAGGAGCATTGAAGCAACGCTCATGCTCACCGTGAGGCCGTCTGTCTGCACCGATGACAACGCTGAAAGAGGGCGAAGAGTTGTTTTGCAACGCAAACTTTAAGCTTCGGATGTAACTGTTAGTTTCGTGAAGCACGTCTTGTAGACGGAACAGAATGTCTCTCCGGGGACCGACGGAAATATCGCTAAGCAGAATGCCGAGACGCGCATCAACCTGCTCCTTTTAGTGGCTCTCCCTGATCAGCCAAAAGTGATCCAATTATGTGGTAAACCTGGCCTTGCACTTTGAAAGTAGGCACCCATCCCCGCTCACTAATATCCATCGCACTAAAAGACGTCACCTGGAAGCAACAGTTGTATTTCCGTACTGCTTCAAGAAAATGCGTTGACTCCGAAGTTGTACCCAGAAGGCGGTCCCTAAGCGGCTGGGGAGGTTCGTCTAAAGTAGGGAGTTTGATTTTGCCTCCAGAGCAACAAAGCCCAGGTTGCTCACCGGCCCACATTTTGCGTTGTAAAAAGTTCAAACTTTATCCATGGGCCCTATTTGTACGTGTCTTCTAGCAGAATAGTTGACAGTGCAGTCATAATTGTATGCGGCATTTGACCAAAATGATGCAGACGGCGAAATTACGCATTCAAAGAAGTTCGAAGTTGCTGATGTTTTCGAGCCGTTGACGGCGTACTTCAGAGTTTTCTGCAGCCCTGGCAGACGCAGTAGAGCGGGCATTTCTAACGCGATGAACAATGGTTTGTGCAGGGCTTTCTAGGACTCTATCAGATGCAGTAGAGCGGACATTTCTAACGCGATGAACAGAGGTCTGTGCAGGGCTTTCTAAGGTTCTGGCAGATGCGGTGGATAGGGCATTTCTAAAGCGACGATGAGCGGTTTCTTGGGGTTGTTCCGAAGCTCTAGAGGCGGCTGTAGCCCTAGTATTCCTAAGACGACGTGAAGTTGTTTGTTCGGGCCTTTCTAAACCCCTGGAACAAGCTTTGGCGGTGGTATTCTGTGCTGGGGACTGTGAAGCCCTCAACCTAGCCACGCGGACTGCGTCCTGTGAATTCTTAAGTGAACGTTCTTCAACTGAAAGGCTGGCGCGGCGTGCGGACATGGTTGATGACGCTGAAGCCAACTTTTCAGTCCGCGCAGCGGCGCTTTTCGTAGATAGCGAGCAGCTGAGCTCAAGGCCATCCGTGAAAGACGAAAGAAGTCTGTTCAGGGGTTTCACTCGCCCTCGCTGCTCTAGCAGCGGAGGCAGCTGCCGTGCGCCGTCCCAAAAGTTTCCTCCTTTTATGTGGCAGTAAAAACGTCAAAGAAATTAAAGCTTAAGAAGAGATTTCGACAAATCGAAAACGAAAAAATGTGCACTGCTAACGTAGACACAAAAAGAAACACCCAGTATAATGAGTTCAGATGTTACTAAAGGGGAACTCCAAACTAAAAATGTGGAAATTTAAAAAGGTAAAACAAGCGTAAATCCAAAAGGAAATGGGTTTTTAGTACAATTGGCTAACGTGTGTAGGGTTGGGTTAGAACTATAAAACAAAAATGCAGCTAGAACACGTAATCAACAACTTGCGGTGTCCGAAGTAGGCGAATAAAATAAGCCAAGTGCGTGCACGCGGGCAACAATAAACGCAAAAGGATGAAAGCACGCCCGAGTCACGCAATAGAGGTGATTGACCTTGAGCGCACTTGCACATAAGCTGACGTGCGATCACGCGGGCGCTATAACGTGTGAGAAATCCTGCGCGATGATTGGACAGGGCCCAAGGTCAAGCTTTGTGAAAGCGACCAATGGGCTTGCAGCAGTCTCGGCATCGACACGCGGACTCAGATATACGCAACTAAGGAAGTTACAAAAAAGATTGATCCGCGTGCAGCTACAGTTATTTTTGCCGAAAAATTTTGAAATTTGACACACATAAAAGCGATAGTAAGCCGCAAGTGTGTCGTAAATTTAATTTGAATGAAACCAAAACTGTACATACTGTGCCAGGGAATGTGTGTTCAGAGGGCTAAATCCTGTCCCTTGGTACCCCCGTTTATGGTTCCCTGGTCAAGCGGCTTTGACAGTCTTGCAAACAATTTGGTACTTGTTAGATAGCCAAGCGTTAGTGCTATCAGAAACTGGACCATTTGCTTTGTTTTGGTGGCTCGGTAACAAAACATTGTCCAGAACCACCGCCGGGTAATTTTACGTAGTCCTGTGAAGTTTTGTTGAAATCGGCAGAAAAATGTATGAAATCCGATCCCATATATAAACGAACACCCCCCCCCACACACACAACCTGGGTTTTATAATAAGTAAGATATATTATACTATATTATTTATTATAATATTAAATTCATTTCTATAATATTAAAATAATATTAAAATTAAATAATAGTTTTAATATTAAATTCTAAAAATTTTTAATCTATAAACTTAAAAGCTCTTTCTTAACTTTAAAGATTGTAATTCTTTATGTAATGTTTTCCTATATGAACAAGTGTTAACATTTTAAATATAGGTGAATATTAATTTTCAACCGTTTTTAACTCCTGTCTGGACTTGTATGTACATCTAGTCCTCCTCTTTCTTGTTTCCACGTTTTCGTGTACCCCCCTCACTACTTTACCTTTTACTTCCTCTTTTTTTTCTATCTCACTTTTAAATGCTTTCTCACTTATTTGTACTTGTTTCCACTTTCTTCCTATCTCTTTTAATCTTTTAATTCAAAGAAAAAAGATGTTACGATTCATTTTTTTATCAAACGTTTTGATATTGACAAGCTCCAGGGAAATTCTCGGTGAGAGAAATTTCTCAAGGAACGAAATGGCCATCTCGGGTACAACTGAATTTCATTTATATGTTCAATATATATATATATATATATATATATATATATATATATATATATATATATATATATATATATATGTGTGTGTGTGTGTGTGTGTGTGTGTGTGTGTGTGTAGGAATAAAGTGTCGCTGCTGACACTTGAGTTTGAACATATTTCGCCACTGAGTAAACACGGGTATCCCATTTTTAACCAGTAATAACTAATAATAGAAAAGCGATAATAACAACAATAATTGCAATATGAGCTCTGGTAAAAATATGTAATGATAGCAGCAAAAATTGCAATATGAGCACTAGTAAAAAATCCTTGCTGAAGACATTAGGTTTATAATACCCAGCAATTCATACACAGATGTCCTCAAGGACACATGCTACAGTAGATAAAGGCGTTAGATCCAGTGACAGGACCCAAAGAGTGTGAGTTCAATACCCGGTTAAGAAGGAAATTAACAGGAGGTAACTGATAACTGACATCCGTTAAACATGGCACGTGAGCGAAATAAAGGGTTCCGTTCGACATTTCAACCAACTGAAGAAGGCCGGAGCGTACAACGGCCGAAACGATGTAATAAATATGGCGACAAAGATGAGTACAATATTCCGAATAATGTAAATTATGTACATAATACCTCATCTACGGTGTCTTCCTTAATGAATTTAATAACAGCATTACGAAATTGACCTTTGAATTTGAGGGGATGAAAATAGAAATAAATAGACATATCTCCAGATTATTCAACCAAACTTATATGTGTATATGCGTGTGTGCAATTTTTTTTTATATTTACGTACAAAAAAAAACTCACACAGATCCTATTCTTCAAATGAAGGCACTTGTTCGAACTCTGTTGCAGGATTTAATACATATCTGCTCTTTCCTTGCTTAATAGTCTAAAATCTACGATTACGTTTCATACAATTCACTTTAAAGGAACATGTTTAGTTAAAGTCCTCTTTCAATAATTTTTTTTCTTCCTGAAAATCTACAACATTTTTTTGAATATGGAGGTTGATTCTTCATGATAAAACATATTTTTTTGTACAAATAAATATCAGAAAGCAATAAGACCCAATATTTTTCATGGGAATGTGAGAGAATTTACTTCCTCGAAAAAGAATTGTCCTCGAGGTTTTGTAATTTACATTAAATTAAATCACATGCTTTTAAAATCATTTCACCCCAACTAAGGCAGTAAAGCCACTAAAATTCAAGGGGTTACTGGGCGTGAACAATGAGAAAAAGCGAAACACTATTAAGGAGTGAGAAGAATAAAAAAATAAATGAGGAATCAAGAAGACAATAGATAACAATTAATATTTCGTTTAAATTTTTGAAGATCAAAGTGTGGTGGAATGCATGTTTGTTTATTTTACGGCATATCAATCTCAATGAGGTATTTAACGCCGACAAAATTTTTTATTGCTGGTAATATATTTATTTCAAAAATCTATTTCTAGGAATATTTTTTCTTCAAAAATCTATTTCTGAGAATATTTTTCCTTCAAGAAATCTATAGCTGGAAATTTTTTTTTCTTTTGTTTTGCTGGTAATTGCCGATAATAATTTTTCAAAAATTATTGTTGGTATTTTTTTTTGTTTTACAAAGTTTTTCTGGTATTAAAACCTATTTTTACATAATTTTAGGCGTTAACTAATTGACCATAGCTGGGACCCTAACAGGTGCTACCACCCCGGGTCAGGGCGGACCTGGGAACACAAGCAATTAAGGAGTAGTTCCACGCTCCTCAAAACCTCTTGATCAGAGGCTTGTTGTTGGACGTAGTTTATCGTCTTACCCAGAACGCGGATGTAGTTTATCGTCATACCCAGGACGAGCCGGAAGGCATGAAGCCGGTATGAAGTTTCTCAAGCGAGAAATGAAAGAGAAGAAACAGTTAACATAGAACTTACAGTTGCATCTAGCCAGTTCAAGTATAAATTGAGGATGCCTTGTTGCCAAACTGGTACTGCGTTTAAATTCCTAAAGTCTGGGTACCGTAGCAGAAATTTCATCCGAACAATTACAATGAAAGTATTTATAGAAAAGGCTGAGGAAGCTACGGCGATGAGAAAGTGGCTTAAGCCGAGATGACAAGACCGGACCAATAATATTGCAAATTCTTCTGTGTATTTTATCAATAACCTCTAAATATATAGCAGGAGCGCCATACATTCAACAGTCTTATCTAAAGCTCGATAGACCCAGCATTACTATAAAAGTAACATGTTTAAGAATGAGTTTCTTCCTGTAAGAGCGTTATGGCTTAGAATTCTTTGTAACGCATTCCCTGACCAAACTGTTTTCATTTGCACTGGAAAAATTCATATTGTGAGATGTTCACTTTGTTTTGTTGCCGAGACAGTGACGAAAAAAAACTGCGACTTTTTAGATTAACTGTCAGCGAATAAAGCTACAGCAATTGTAACTGGCAGTGATAAAAAGATAATATGAAAATATCGATTCATTTGATGACTAACGACAGATATATCACAGGAAGGCTCTCGAGATAGATAGATAGAGAGAGAGAGAGAGAGAGAGAGAGAGAGAGAGAGAGAAAGTAATGGGCAACTGGGTGTTTTTTGTAGAAATGATTTCCTGTCGCGCAATAACTTAGGGTAGTTAAAAAGGAAAATATCATTACACATTTCCATGAAACATTACTACAACATATCCGTCTACGTTTTCCTTTATTTTAAATTCATTTCCCCGTTTCTGTTTTATCAATTTTTTTTATTTATTTTTGTATTTCTTTTTCCTTAATACATTTTTCATCTTCGCTTTTTTCTTTGTTTGCCTCGTGCTAGATTTATGAACGTTGATTAAACAGGAGGAACTGGTTTATTCGTCGATGCCACAACAATGAGACAGAAAGTACTAGATTACATGGTATGAGTAGACTATAGGGCTACGTTAATTTTGTTAGTGGGGTTTCCTCAGCAAAGAGGATTTTTACAACTTGGTGTTGCTAGCCTCACTCCAAAACTGTTTTGAAATCAAAGGTATCCTTCTCATTGACTGGTTGCCAACGAAGGCTAATAAGCTTAGTTTGCCCTGTAATCTCACACGTTTAATAAGGATGTAACAGAGAATCGGGTCAGTCCGATAAAAGGCTCCGAGTTGGTTGTATGTGGTCCTGTAAGCACCAGAAGTTGCGTTCCCTTTCCACAATGGGCTGTCATGAGAAGTTCTTCTAATTAGAGTAGGTCGCACTATTTGCATATGAACGATACTGGACAGGTATTGACCAATAATCAGCGTGGGTCTGGGACTGGGAGAACTATATAACACCGGATATTTTTTTTATTTCTTTGCCAGTCGAGAGAAGCGCTCCATAAAGTGCGGACGTGCGAAAACAAGACAAGATGAACACAGGATATATATTAAGAAATGGATCGATGACATTTCGAAGAGTATTTTTCCGCAAGTGAAGCCAACGTAATCGGTTAGAATTTGAACTCGGCATTCTTTTTTTATGCTTTGCGCATATCCAACATTATAGACGGATCAGATAAAATGAGAATCATTTTCTAGTGAGCTCTTTTAAATGACACAACTGAACAGAGACTATTTTCCTCGTAAATGAAATCGAACGATGGTTTTCTACATAGTTCAATCTTACATTAAAAATAACTGTTCTAATGTTTTAAATATGGCAGAGTAAACGGCTTTGAAGCTGAAATTGGAAGTTTTCCCATATACGATGTATTCAGCAAACCTGTCATCTTCATATTATAAATTGTTCATATTCCATGATTTATTAATTAAGGTAGGGGGTTACATTAAGAGGCAGTTTATAGATAGGAAGGAAGATATTGACTTTAGACTTGAACAGGTTAAGATTGTAGTGACTGGAGAAACATCTTCCTGAGAGTCTCTTTTACAGCGCAGTGGTTCGAGGGATGAAGCTTTTCGAGTGGAACTTATTTTTCGCCGATAGAATACAGACGAAATATTGGGTGTTTACAAGTTTGTAAGCCTTGAATGTTAGACCTGGAGTAACCAAGAAATGCAGTTTGTCCGAGCACTTTGCATGATAGTAGCGATCTTCCTCAAATAAATCATCGATTGAGGTGTGTAGTCGTTCTTTTATAACAGAATACATGATTTAGTTTAGAGTGGGGCTACCTTCATAAAAGGGAGGCATAATCAGGCTAATGTGTGCATTAAGTTGTTTCAATCCTCATGTTTGACAGATATTTGTTAAAAATGCTTCAAACTTATGCGTGAGAAGTTGATATGTGGTAACGGATAGTGAAATAGGCAGGTTAACTATTAATATTAACTAACGCTTTCGATCCTCATTGGGTACTTTATGGATTTATTTTTAAGTCCATAATAAAAGGGTAGGGTGGAATAAAAGATTAGTTCAGAAATTCTTAAAAAAAAAAATTTGTTTTACGAAGAAACGAACAGGTTGGGATAAAAAGACGGGTTTTTAAAAGTTGAGATTAAGGCAAACGAGGGCTCTGGAATAAGGAATCGTAGTTTGGAACCGTGTGGGTTCGTTAAAGACACCGGAAAAAGGAAAAAAATATTCCTGCTCAGAATGCGATCAGCAAGAGCGATACCGATACAGAAGGATGTGTACCCATGTTTCATAGACTAAACAAAGGCCTTTGACAATGTACACAACAAGGATCCTATGGAACTGTTCAGCAACCTCGATATATTCGGGAAAAATATCAGAATAATCAAGAACCTTTACTGGCAGCAAACAGCATGTATGCGCATAGGGAACGAGTTCAGTGAATATACAAAAATAGAAAGGTTCGTAAGGCAAGGATGCGTCTTCTCATCCCACCTGTTCAACCTATACAGCGCGGCAGTTCTGAGAGAATTGGAAACCCTACTGGAATTTAGCAAGGGGCGGGGGCACAATCTTAACAACGGAAGAAACGCAGATGATACTGTACTGATAGCAGACACGGAAAAGAAATTACAAAATCTTCTACAGAAGGTAGCGATAGAGAGAGAGAGAGAGAGAGAGAGAGCGAGAGAGAAGAAATGACTAAGTATAAACTACAAGACTGCATGACCATCAACAAGAGGATGAGCCCGAAATGCGATTTGAAGATCAGGGACACTAGAATCAAGCAGACGCAGAACTTTAAATATCTGGGAAGAGTCTTGACAGTATGGTAAGCGTGACACTGAGATCCCTAGGCGTATTGGGATGGCCAAGGACAAATTCCAAAACCTGGACAGAGTACTGAGAGACCGCAGGATTTCTTTGGTAACAAATAAAAGAATACTGAACAGTTACATGACATCTATCCTTCTGTACGGCAGCGAATGTTTGCGATTTCGTCAAAGATCAAGAAGTGACTCGAGGCGACAGATATGTGGTTCTACAGAAGGATGCTAAGGATGTCATGGACCGAGCGTGTGAGCAACGATGAGGTTTAGAGACAAGGAAGGGGCTTATACTTAATATCAGAAAGAGACAGCTGAAGATTCTGGAACACATAATGAGGAAGGATGGTCTGGAGAATCTGATACTCACAAGTCGAATAGAGGGAATGAGAGACAAGAGAAAACAATGCGTGACATACTTGGTGGAATTAAACCAGTCGATGACAGAACGTGTTCTGGGGGAGGAAGCAGAGGGAAAGAACTTGTTGAGAATTGCAAGGGATAGAGGGAGGTGGAGAACCATGATCGTCTACATCCTGAAAGGACATGGTACATAAAATGAAAGAAGTAGTTTGGAAAAAAAAAATCAACCTTTAAATAGCTGTCCATTTCAGCACAAGAGAGTAATTTTCTATATTAATTTGTTCTCATCCAACGCTCTATACTGTGCTGGATAATGATATACAAATCATTTTTGGCTGTAAAATTGATTAAAAATTATGATATTGATAACATATTCAGGATAAATTATCTTAAAGATAGTCAAGGAAGAAAATTAAAAAAAAAATGAGTGTAATAAGAAAGAAAACATTCTATGACATTGGTGCGAAAAATGTAAATAGAATTTACACTTCTAGATTAGTTTAATGGCACCAATAATCGTGAAATTGGTCGTTTCCTTATAAGGAAACATTCAACATTTATTGAGTGAAGAGTTATCGTTACCATGGTTTGAAATTCATAAAATTTTCCCTTCAATTTTTCAGGAACGTAGTTTTGTCAAGTCCACTAACTTTCTACTATTTATGGGGATTGATACTTACCTGGCACAGGGCTCAGTCCCTGTACTGGTGGTATCACGGCTACGACTAGCTTGGACCGTCTCTGACCAGCTTGGATCAGCTATGACAAGCCAAGACCAGCTTATGAGTAGCTTAGACCAGATATGACGAACATGGACAAGCTATGACCAGCATGGACAAACTTAGACCAGTGGCCCGAGTAAAAACACTCGGGTCCCACGTGTGGAAATTCAATTTGTTGATAATATTTTTTCACTCCTAGTTATATGTACTACTCTTTTAGGTTTCTGTTACTGTTGAGTGAATTCAAATGATATAGATTTCTTATTTGGAAAACTTCCTTGTTTGTGATTGTGCAGCGCCAGACTAATGTCTGATGAAGGATTATCTTCTTTAAAACCTGAATGCATTCATCCGTTTTAACCCATTTTCCACCATTGATCTGAGAAATCTCTTGTCTATATCTGATAATTTGAAACATTTCGGAAAGATTTGAATGCAATCCATGACCTCCATAGAAGAGTCGAGATCTAACGAGGCTCTTTGAGAACATTCCGCGGGTTTTCGGGTTAATCTTTTGGTTTTGACGCATCTTGCAATGTACGCTTAGTGCTACTTATCTCAAGATAAGTAGTGTTTACAAATATTTGATAAAAGTATTCCCTATTTCGTTACGATTATACGTTGATTCGTAATTAGCGTGTGTTAATTAATGGCCTCAGGGTTTTTCAATGAAGAACCCACTACCCAGAATGAAACCAAATGACCAACCATTAGAAGAGTTTCTTGGTTTGGTCCGGAATATTTCTGCGACCACATTAGATGTTATAATTTTAAAGTTCATTTTGTAAATATCACCATTATTTCATGAGGAATCGAGGAATTACTTTCTCTGGACAAGATGTCAGTCAGTTGTGTGCCATGCGGAATACAAGCAAAGGCGATCATGTATCTTTCCATACATGAATGACGAGGCAGATTTTTTCCCGTAGTAGGTTGCCATTTCTTTCTGTAGTAGACCAGTTGCCTTCCAAGGCTATAGAAACCGGTCTTTCCTTCCTGAGAAGAAGAGGATTCATAACTTTCCCAAGGATATTAGCAAGTAAGTGAATGTAATTCGACTGGAATTCGAACTTGGCTCTCCGATTCCTCAATCCGAGCCGCTATCCTTTACTCCATCGATATACCAGTGCGTTATTAAAGGTATCCCATATCCAAATAGCTTGATTAAAGATCTTATTCAAAATTGTTTTCTTTATTTTATAGATCGATTGCTTCTCTGGACAAAATGTAACATTTCGCTGCTAAATGCTTTCAAAACGCCAGGACATTGATTAAAGATTTTATTCGAGTTTGTCTTCGAATATCTAGTACTACTTTAGATGATTAGGCATTTTTTTTATAAGGTGCCAT